ATAAAGATTTGTGCTTACCGTCTTCATGTTCGTCAGCAGCTTCTATTTTTTAACGATTAAATATATTAAATATTATCATTAAATAAAATATTCCTCATAACATATATTCAAATTTATATATCTTATGCTTAAAATTCTTTTATACTTACCATGCTCATCGTCAGCTATTATAGTGATAAACAGATTTGCACATTTATTAACTTTACATTAATGTTATTCAAAACTTATTAATTAAATTTCAAACAAAAACATCACGTCAGTATTAAAAACAAATTTCCCTTTAGAAGCAGGAAAATGTTACATATTTCATTCAATGCAAGAAGCTCCTTGTTTCAATTTCAAATAAGAAATATTTTTGCTCTGTTAAAAATAGTTAAACGAAAGGTAGGAAAATTGAATCTATTTTATGCAACGAAAGCAACCCTTCATTTAAATTTTAGGTAAGAAATATTAATTGAGTACTAAAAAGTTATTTTAATTTTGAAACAAGAAAATATGCAAATCAAAGTAATTACATTATTTTTCTTACTTGTGTTAAATAATTTAGGGTGTGGTGAAAATTTAAATTTTTGTTAAGTTGTTTCAGTTTTGCCTTAGAATATGGAATCGATGGGTCAAGAGATAAGTCACATGAGGGCTACCTCCCTCCATTAAGATTCAAAAATACCAATGAAGATGCAACAAGGACCGCGAATTGTCATATAAAGTTATTCGACAGATAACAAAACTCTTTACTCGAACAATTGGGCTACCTTTGCAGAAGTTGAGCGAAGGTGAGCGTTCCTCTACAACTACCATATCTGTTGCGTCATTCAGTAATGGGATCAACGAACTATCACAGTTGGGTCATGTCAGTAATGGGATAAACGGGCTAGCACAGAACTGGCAGCACGTTGTGTCACAGGGGATAGAGTGCTCGTTTCCCAATGAGGTAAACTGGGTTCGAATCCCTGCAAAGACTGGTTTATTCAAATTCAGCACCCGGCGTGCTCCGATCACAGTGCTGACGTAAAATATCCTAAGTGGTAGACGGATCATGGGTTAGAGTCCTCTTGCAGTCAGGCTAACCATGGGAGTTCTTCGTGCTTTTCCTCGCCATGTAACGCAAATGCGGGTTAGTTCCATCAAAAAGTCCTCCACGAAGGCAAATTTCTCTCAAAATTTGATCCAGGAGTTCACTTGTCTTCTGGAGTATGTTTAAAATTGCAAGGCTAAGGAGTTAAACATTGGTATCTGCAAACTGAAAATTCGGTCGGCTGTTCAACGACGGTTATAATTATAATAATCATGCCGTTAAATTGTAAGGAATTATTTGAGCCGAAATGACCATAGCCGTTTGACAAACAACGTAATATTAATATTTTACTTTTTTACTTGGAAGGTATGAGTCGGAAGGTATGAAACAGCAGTTGCATAATGAGCAAAAAATGTTAGTAGTGGGAATGGTTTCCTCTTACAGATATACAGAGCTTGCAGCGTGATTTCATACTTGAAAAAAAGGCAGTTTATTATTTCCTGTGGCAATTGGCCTGAATTGTCCTGCTGAAATTTCATACACATCGACTGCAACGAGTGTTACGCACAATCATGCGTGTGTATTACAATTGCTGAATGATATTTGTTTTGTATTGTATCAATGTGCGTGCACATCAAATTTCATTAAAATCGTTCCAGTAGTTCTAGAGATGATCGACTAAGTCTGCAAATTCTCGGAATTTCATACATCAGTGTATAATAAGCTGATATCTAAACAAAGATGGTTGACTCAGATAAATAGTTACCGCATAATTTGAAACAGGACATTTAAATTACTTTAGAAAATATATTGGATACTAAGATATCAGCAATTTTTAAAAAGAAAAATTGTTTATCAATGTTATCATAGTTGCTTATTTTCCTGTAATCAATTGTTAATCAGATTAAAAATAAGTCTTTTAAGCACAAAAATACGATTTAATGCACAAATTTATATTAATGAAACTGCAATTAATCATTAATACTCACCCTCTTCTTTTTCAAAAGCTTCGATTTCTAAGAAAACAAAATGTATTAAATCACTAAACAAGAAATCCATTCGTTCTAATGTATTATTTATAACGTATTTTATACTCAAATATGCGTAATTAAATACGAAAACAATATCTCACTCACTGTTTCCGTTCATATCATAAATGTCGACTTCTGAAAGGTAAAATACGTAAAAAAATAATCTTTATCTTAAAAACTTTTTATTTTCAATTTTAAATAAAAGAGCGTTAAATAATTTATTTAAACTTACTCTCTCCATATTTGTCAAAAACATCAATCTCTAAATAATGTACAACGTATAATAATAATAAAAAAGGTTTATTTAAAACATTTCGCAATGTATATTTCATGTACGAACTAAATTAACTCAATGTGAAATGAATCAGTTATACTCACTCTTTCCATGTTTGTAAATGGATTCTATTTCTAAACGATAAAATATATAAATACTAATAAGCTAAAACACTATTTATCTTAAAATAATTTCGCATGCAAATCATAATTTTATGAAGTTAAATCAGTGATAAATGATTTATACTTACTAAATCCTTGCTCGTCGTAAACTTTTATTCCTAAATTATAAAATATAGTTAGTTAAATAAAGTAGAATTTGAATTAAAAAAACTTCGTGTAAGTTATTTTATGTATAAAAAAAATTATCTCATATATTATTCATACTCACTTTCGCCATTCTCATTATATACTACTATTGCTAGAAGATAAGTAAAATATTAGAACTCAACAAAATCACAACAAATTTTAAATATTTTCTTGCTCTGCATTTTAAGCATTGGACATGCAAATAAGTTCCCGTTCCTCACAAGATGGAACTACCAGAAAGTATGGTGTGGCAGAAGTCGAATTCTTGGCCATAGATGGCGCCACTAGAAAACAAGAACAGTCGAATTCTTGGCCATAGATGGCGCCACTGGAAAACAAGAACAATCGCACCTCCTCTGCCTAAACAGGCATACGTCAACAACAACACCAGAAAGTTAGGTAGAAATTGACTGGTGTTAAACTTCTTATTGTTTGTTTGTTCATCTAGTAACAACATTACCTTAAAGTATTAGTGATTCTGCGTTAGGTTACACTACGTTACGTTAGTGATTACGTTATTGTTTTCTTGCAAAAATGTCTACTTTTAAATCAAATAAGCGTCATTTGCTTGAACTTTTGATTTACTTCTTTGATTTGAAGAAATCTGCAGCTGAGGTGTATCGATTGCTTTGAGAAGCATATGGTGAGGCTGCTTTAAATGAGAGAAGTTGTCGTGAGTAAAATTTTAAAACGTAATATCAGATGTTTTAAAACGGCGAGTTTGACGTCGAAGACAACGAACGCAGTGGTAGGCCGAAATTGCACGAACTCAAGAAATTGGAAAAATTATTGGAAGATAATTCTTCCCCAAATCGCAAAGAACTTGCTCTTACATTACAAGTGACTCAAGTGGCAATTTCACATCGTTTAAAATCGTTGGGAATGATCCAAAAACAAGGAAGTTGGGTTCCATACGAGCTGAAGACAAGAGACATTGAACTTCGATTTTGCATGAAAATTGATTTTGCTATTTGGAAACCCATCAATGGGAAGTCCTACTCCATCCGCCATATTTGCCAGACCTTGTCCCTTCAGATTATTACCTATTTCGGTCGATGGTGCATGGCCTGTCTGAATAGAAATTTACATCATTGGAAGAAACTAAGTAACGAGTCGATTCGTGGATATCCTCAAAAGATAAAGAGTTCCTCCGACGTGGCATCCGAATGCACCCAGAAAGATGGGAAAAAGTAGCGCCTCGTAATGAAAAATACTTTGAACAAAAGATAATGTACCATTTTTTCACAATAAACTGCAAAATTTTGATAGAAAATGACGGAAACTTATTTGTACGACCAATATAAATATGATCAAAATTAATATGACAAAAATCATTCATACTTACTTTCATCATCCCCGTCAACATTTTCTGTTTCTAAAGGATAAAAATAGGCACAGGATTAAAGCAATTTTAAGAATTATATTTAGTGATTAGTGTCTTAATTAATTAACCGAAATTATTTCATGCTACTGAAAAGAAGCAGAGAGGAATTTTTTTAGAAATGAAGAATTAAGGAGCAAAATGATAAATTTTTTAAACAATTTTTCAGATAAATTTCAGAGAGTATGAGAAAAAATTATTTTTTCAACATTTTATTTGAAATGTACGATAATACAGGGTTTTTGCGGTTCTTGAAAAATTTCAGTAGTGGTAGTAAATTAATGTTAAAAGATATTTCCTATTTCCATATACCACTTTGTCGTTAAGTGGTTTAGAAGTTGGAATTTTATAGCATATAAACTTTCTTTGGAAAGTAATTTTTAGTACTGGTTACGCAGAAATTAAATTATCTACATTTGTTTAGTTTTTGTTCCAACTTTTTAAAGTCAAAAAGGCCCGTGGGAACCATGTAATAGTTTCCAAAAGAAATGAATGTGAAAGTAATATTCGTAACACTTTAATGAATTTATAATATATTTTTTATTAGATATTAAGTTGTTTCTTTATTCTCAAACAATAGTTAATATGATCGAGAAAAAGTCTTTGAAACACAGAATTACTATTTTATACACAAATTTATATTATTAAAAGCGTAATTAATCATTCATACTCACCCTCTTCCTTTACAAAAGATTCTATTTCTAAAATGATAAAACGTATGAAATCAACAAAACAGTTTAAGTTTGAACAGACTCTATTTGTCTTAAGGTATTTCGAATAAATAAATATGAAATATTGAATACATAAAAAAATTGAGACTCACTCTCTCCATTTTCATTAAAAATGTCTATTTCTGAAAGGTAAAACGTATGAAATGTAAACGAATATTTATACTTCGATTTTTTATTTAGACTTCGTAAAGTTTTCTCTGTTTTTTTTTTCCAAAATTTATTTTCAATTTATTGAGCATAAAAAAATAATTTAAACTTACTATTTCCATCTTTATCATAGGTTTCTACCTCTAAATAAAGTACAAAATAATGTAGTAAAAAAATCTATTTCTATCGCGCATAAATTGACTCAATTAAATATGTAATGTGTACTTTATACTTACTCTTCCCGAATTTGTAAAGGTGTTCTATTCCTAGATGATAAAATATATGAAGGAAAATCAATAAACTAAAACGCAATTTGTTTTAACATTTTTCATATAGCGTATACAGTACCTGACAAAATTATTAAACGCACTATAAAATTCTTTGTAAAATCCTAAATTTGATACTATACAGCTTAAATGCTTTTACGCAACAGAAACTGGTTTGCACTTGCTTACGTTTGTGTATCAATTGGCTAACATTGTAAAGTAATGTAAGTTAAAAATGACTATACAAATAGAAAGTATACAGAAAATCTGAATAAAAATGCATCACATGTATGTTGAAATATAAAAGTATTGCATATAAACTGGTGCAAAATATGTAATAATAAAAAATAAAAAATAAAAACTGCAGTGTGTTTAATATTTTGGTCTAATTATTATAACATACTAATATAATACCTGATATAATAAATATTCTATATTTATACAATATATCATCCAATTTATCCAATCGTCGAATTTAGATTATATATCGTCTAATTTAACCAATTGATACACGAACATAAACAAGTGCTAACCGGTTTCAGTGGCGTAAAAACGATAAAGCTGTGTAGTATCACCTGGTAATTGAGATTTTGCATAGAATCTTTATGTGCACCTAATAATTTGACCAGGACCTACATTTTAAGCACAACTCTACGTAATTGGGGGTTTTTACAGAATGATTTGTACTTACTTATCCCATGCTCATCATAAACTTCTATTCCTAAATGATAGAATTAATGAACAATTATCGATTAAGAAATTTGAAACTCATATGAAAATATTTCATTTAATTCATTTCATGAACAAACCAAAAAAATAATTATGTCACATAATTATTTATACTCACTCTCTCCGTGATCATTAAAAGCTATTATTGCTAAAGAATAAAATAGATAAAATAATATTACTTAACTAAATCGCAACTAATTTAAATATTTCCTGTCATTCAATTATATATATAAATTTACATTAAATCTATTAATATTATCATACTTACTGTTTTCATCTTCAGCAATAGCTTCTGTTTCTAAATAATAAAAATAGATACGGGGTTAAAGAAACAATTTTAAGGAGCATGTTTAGTGATTTTCAGTCAAATTAGCTTGCATTAGACAACTTTGTGATCAATATGAATCTTTTGTTTCAGCCATAGTTAAGATTTTTTTTCTTTTGTGGGAGATAAAAAAATATCGTGCATAGTTATTTATATACATATTAATAGAAACGTAATATAATTAGAAAATTGATGGAAAAACTTAAAGGTTCTCATCTGGACACATTCCATTACGACAGGGAAAGAAACATTTCGACATAAAGAACAATTTTTCAAAGACAAAAATCCCTCTTTATAATGCGTTTATGCCTCAAGAAAATTAAAAAAATGTAATTTTAAATGAGTTTAAGATAAAAGAAGAAACACCGTAAACAAACTTCACGATATGAAGCAAAATAAAATAAACATATGATATAATAAGATATACTAATCGGACACTTAACAAAAGTTGTTAAGAAGAAAAATCATAATGAATGTGCTTTCAGCTTTATCGTGAAAATAATTGTTGAACTCAATTTCAGTGCTCTGCCATCCATAAAAAAAAACGCTTTAATAATAATAATAATTGGAAAATTTAAGCTACAAAGCTCATAATTAGTTAAACAGTTAATAGGAACAATAAAAAAGTATTTAAATTGTTAAATCATTAAACAATCAAAAAGGTAATATTTGTAGAACTTAACATTCAAACGTAAACCAGGAATAAACCCTTTCATTGGTTTCATATGGTGACTTTATAAGCCAGAGCCTTCGTCAGTGGAATGATAAAAACAGCTCTTAGACAGGGAAAGAGGGCATAATATTTATTTAATAATTAATGGAGAGAAAGCAACCATTAAAGTGACACAAAATCGTTGTGCTCCTCAATAAAAGCTAGGGAAAATCTTGCAAATTAAATCAGTAGGATGTCCCGTTTTAGGGAATAAGGGAAATCTAAGTAATTGTAATTGGTCTATTAAGTAGGCTTAACTATTTCAGGACCCTTAGCTATTTAAGGGAAAAAGTTTTTCCGACGAAATAGTTAAGCGGATAATAGTTAAAATGTTAATTAATAAATACTTGAACTAAAAATAGATTAAAAGACAGGATGTGGATATTAAAGAGTGAGAAAAAGCGTTTCGATTTGAATAATAAATTAAGAAAAAATAATATAAATTAATTTATATTACTGAAAATGTAATAAATCATTAATACTCACCCTCTTCTTGCATAAAACCATGTATTACTAAAAATATAAAACGTATGAAACTGATAAATAAAAAATCCTATTGGTTTTAACGTATTTCATCTAACGTATTTTACACAGAAATCAGCTAAATTGAATAGACAGAAAAATTTCCTACTCACGGTTTCCACTTTTATCGAAAATCTCTATTTCTGAAAGGTAAAGCACTTAAAATGTAAACAAATATTTAGACTGCGATATTTTTTAAAAACTTATTAGAATATCTTCTATTCTCCTTAAATATAATTTGAGAGTGAAAAAAATTATTTAAACTTACTATTTCCATCTTTGTCATAGGTTTCTATCACTAAATAACGGAAAAAGTGTTATAATTAGAAAAAAAAAATTATTTAAAATATTTTATGTAATGCATTTCATGCACAAATTAACTCAATTCAATATGTGATAAGTTAGTTATACTCACTCTTTCCTGATTTGTAAAGCATTTCTATTCCTAAATAATAAAAACATATAAAATATTATCAATAAAAACTAAAACGCAATATTTAAATTTTAAAACATTTTGTATTCCGCAATGTACACAACCGTACTCTTGCACAACTGTACGTAGTTGATTGTTTAAAACAATTATTTATACTTACGTATTCCATGTTCATCATAAACTTCTATTCCTAAATTATACAATTAATGTAAATTTTCAATTCAGTAGAGCGAAATTTATATAAAAAATTTCGTTTGATTCATTTCATGCATAAATAATTATGCAAGAATTATTATGCTATAAATTATTCATACTTACTCTCTCCATGTTCATCATAAGCTATTAGTGCTGAAAGGTAAAAAAAAAATTATTATGCAACTTAACTAAATCGCAAATAATTTTAAATATTTTTTACACTGCAATTTATGCATGAATTTATAATTTATCTGTTATAGATCATTCATACTTACTCTCATCCTCTTCTCCAACAGATAAAAAAATATTATTCAACTTAACTAAATCGCAAATAATTTTAAATATTTGCTCCATGATCATTATAAGCTATTATTGCTAAAGGATAAAATGGATAAAATATTATAACTCAACTAAAGCGCAACTAATTTTAAGTATTTTCTTGCATTGAATTATATATATAAATTTATATTAGATCACTTAAAAATAATTTATACTTACTGTCTTCACCTTCAGTATCAGCTTCTGTTTCTAAATGATAGAAATAGATATGGGATTAAAGAAGCTATTTTAAGAATCATGTTCAATGATTTTCAGTTTAATTAGCTTGCTTTAAACTATTTTGTGATCAATATGAAATATTTTTTATAGGACTATTACTCTCTTTTGGCTTGAGCCCCAGGGCCATAGCCAGGAAATTTTTAGGGGGGATATAAAAAGATAACGCATAGTTATTTGTATACATATACATAGAAAAATAATATAATTTGAAAAATATTTAGAAATATGATAGAAAAACGTGAGGGTTCTCATCAGGATGCATTCTCTTACGACAGCGAAAGAGACATTTCAAAATAAAGATAAATTATNCACATCTGCAGCAGAACTGGATATGAAGACAAAATTGCAGGACAGGAACACTTTAATTGTCCACTAATCTTCAGATTTCCTGCTATGTTTTAAAAAACTTTATTTGTGAAAACCTTCAGCGTGGCGGACAGCTGGCCGCCTTAGGCGGCTAGTATAAAATAATTGTCGAAAAAATAAAGTAAATCACAATTCAGTGCTGCCATTCATAAGAAAATAAAACTTTGCTAATAATTATAATTGGAAAATTTAAGCAAAAAAAACCCTCATAATGCGTAAAAAAAGTTAATAAAAACAACAATAAAGGTATTTCAATTGTAAAATCATTAAACAATCAAATAGGTGATATATGTAGATCTTAAGATGTAACGTAAACTAAGAATATACCCTTTTATTGGTTTCATAGCGTGGCTGTTTATAAGTCACAGCCTACATACATGGATGGAAAGCCGTTTATAGACTTCATCCTCTTTTTGCAAAGAAACAGATGCTTGAATTATACGTCAGAACCTACGGAGTACGGATGCATTTAGTAGTTCGACGCAACGAGCATAATTTGAGCAGTGGAGGAAAATAAGAAAGCTATCATTACGTTTGGGCTACAGAGCTGCGCAGTGAGGATTTTCTTGTTTATGGTAACCAGTGTTAGGGCATTCTCTCTTTTCGGAGATATTGGTTCAAAACACCCGAATATCATGAGTATGAGAAATATATACTCTTGTTTGACTGTTTTTGGTGTCTATTACCACCTAGTGCCTGCACTATTTTTCAAAAAAATCCATTAATCACATACTTACTATTTTATGTATAAATTGATATTACTGGAAATGTTATTAATTAATAACACTTACCCTCTTCTTTTATAAAAGCATGTATAACTAAAAATATAAAACATATGAAATTAATTAATAAAAACTCATATTGGTTTTCACGTATTTCATTTAACGAATTTTACACAGAAATCAGCTAAATTGAATACACAAAACAATTCCTACTCACGGTTTCCACTTTTATCGAAAATGTCTATTTCTGAAAGGCAAAGCATTTGAAATGTAAACAAATATTTTAGTTGCTATTTTTTGTCGGACTTCTATTTAACGAAATTTCATTTTGCGAATTTCTTTATTTTGCGATTTTTTTAGAGGAACCAAGAACATTTTGGAATTTCCAAACAGCGAAGTGAATTTTCTATTTTGCGAACTTTTTTTTAAGATCCACTTTCCCTATTTCCGAAAATATTTCGGATAATTTCAACATTGTTAACGCATTTCACCGGGGAAATGACCTTGAATTGATTTTCGCTGCCATTTAATTTTAGAGAAAGCTGTAAAATCCCTTTCCCTTTTTGTTTGTATTTCATACAGTAATCCATGCAAAATTCAATTTACGAGAAATCTTAATAGAAATTTTTACAGCCTGAATTGTGATGTTACAAATTTGTAACAGTTTTGCCAAAGCTGGATTCTTAGTCAGCGCGGAGAATATGGAAAATGCGGAATACCAGGATGATATTCCTTTAGAAGAACTCTAAAAAAAGATGGGTACAGCTAAGAGAGTACCACGAAAATAATGATGATATACTGATTTTCTTTTTATTGATTCTGAAGCAGAATCCAGAGAAACATGAACTGAATCGGATATTTTGGACAGCGTGAAAAATAAAAACAATACAGTAATAAATTGTGAAAAAGACGAGAAGATGAAGACGGAAATGACGATGAAATCACCAAACCTTCATATGATTAAATGCTAAAATAATTTCAAACAATTCGATAGTAGATAATAATTTACAAGCTAAAGGTGTTTCAATTGTTATTTTAATTATGTCTAGTGTTTATGAATTTAAAACCTGTTCTGTGTTGTTTAACACTAGAAAGACGGGAAATTAGTGTATACCTATATTGCCTAAATGCAGTCAAAATGACAGGATTGTGAATGCGTAAATAAATTTGTTTAAAATTAATTTTTAACATTTTTTATATTATTTACAGTTATTTAACAAGTTATTAGTAAATATTAACAATAAAAAAAATTATATGTTGTACAAAAAGTCACAAAATTCTAAGAAATTGTGTCATTATAGACATCATTGTTTTTCTAATTGAAATTAAAAGCAGTCAAAATGACTTCCTTAGGCAATCTAGTGTTAAGCAATTCAAATGGCGGTTTCCTATTTAACGAATTTTCCATATAACGAACTTTTTATCGGGATTTACCAGCTTCGTTAAATAGAGGTCCATAAATTTAATTTTACTTGAATAAGATTGAAAGAAATTATTCGAACTTACTATTTCCATCTTTGTCATAGGTTTCTATCACTAAATAACGTGAAAAGTATTATTATTAAAACAAATAATTTATGCAAAATATGTTATGTAATGCATTTCACTCATAAATTAACTAAATTCAATATGTGATAAGTCAGTATACTCACTCTTCCCTAATTTGTAAAGGGTTTCTATTCCTAAATAATAAAACATATAAAATATTATCAATAAAAACTAAAATGCAATATTTAAATTTTAAAACATTTTGTGTACCGCAATGTACACTACCGTACTCCTGCACAACTGTACGTAGTTGTTGGTTTAAAAAAATATTTATACTTACTTATTCCATGCTCATCATAAACTTCTATTCCTAAATTATACAATTAATGTAAATTTTAAATTCAGTAACGCGAAATTTATATAAAAAATTTCGTTTGATTCATTTCATGCATAAATATTTATGCAAGAATAATCATGTTATAAATTATTCATACTTACTCTCTCCATGTTCATCATAAGCTATTAGTGCTGAAAGATAAAAAAAAATATTATTCAACTAAACTATATCGCAAATAATTTTAAGTATTTTTTGCATTACATTTTATGTAGGATAAACCAACCAGTGAAGGAACATTTCATAGATATTTTTTAAGAATAAGATTTTAAGCGTTTTTGCTTAGGTTGTAATAGTAACAATAGCTTACTACCTAACAATAGGAAGTCATCTAACAATGCATTGGGTTATCTGGTCATGGAGTCTTCTCCGGAAATTTTTTTGAATTTGTTAGTATCCGCTCAACACATTGTTTCTTTGACAAAATTATAAGGTCAGTGTTTGTACTTATCCGTTTGAAGTTCAATTGATTGCATATAATAATTCTTTTTTTCTCATTGTGAAAAAGTTAATTCAAAGTATGGTTATTGAAGTGACGTTCTACTTTTTTAAGCATCATAACATAAGCAAGTACTGAGATCAAGGTGTGTTTATTAACAGGATTACCCAACGATGAAAAACCAATGAATGAACAAGTGCTCCTTTACAGGGATTTTTCCAAGTTAATGAAAATAAAATAAAATTTTTAATTTCTTTGTACCTTTAGTCATATTATACACCAAAATTATGTTAAAAATACAAATAACAACTTCTAACCAGTGAAGGAACAGGCATGTTCTTTCACAGGGAATAGATTTCCCAGTGAATAAAAAGTATGTGTGAAATATGATTTTACATGGATAATTAGTAGTTCTGCGATATAGAAGACACCTAAAATTCAGTTAAATGTTGTATGAATAGTTCCTAAAACGATTTCATTTCAAAATGCTAATTTAATTGCTAAATTTATTTAAAGAATTATAATTATAACTATAATTAATTCATCATTTATCTTTATAAATGTAGTGGTTAGTTACATCATGCGTTAGACGCCTTAATAAACTATGTTTACTGATCGAAAACTAACTAAATATAATAATAAAAGCTTGAATAGAACATTTCTTTGCTGGCTTTTGCTTCAATAATTAGCTAAATTATTATTCTATTGCGGTCTTTAACGTCATAACGAAAACTGGTAGAAAAATCCATTTAAAGACAATCATCTAGGTGAAAAATGGGTGAAGTCTTTTCAGAATGGCATCCACTGATAACTCGCGAAGATAATTTCAAAAGGCAAAACTTCCCTTAGAGAGAATGATATTCGAAGGACTGGTTTGAAGAACTTTAGAGGAATCTTTAGGAAGGCGGTAGCCTGATGGCATCCTTTTAGAAAGTGATTGCATTTACAATGAGAGCGTAAAGGGAGTTGAATATTGCCCTTAAACGGGAGAAATTCGGCCCTACAAATTATAAGGATTTATATTCTATAGTGCCTAGGAAAGAAAAAGAAAGAACAACAGTTTTGGCCAACATTTTAGCTAATGGAAAAAAAATACCTCCATTGGTAATTTTTCCTTACTGAAGAATTCTTTGAGGTATAACAGAATTCAGCTCCTGCGATATATTTCACAGGAAAAAGCTATTCATGAAGTGAATCGATAACAGCAGCAACATTTTACAAATATATTGCAAATGCTTCTACCCATGGCAAATTGAAAATGCTATCAAATTCCTTATTTTGCTTCGTCTGGATAGGTATAAATCTCATATCAATTTGAAACAGAGCAAGTTTTGTTCATCAAAGCAAATTCTCTTTTCTAGCCTTCTACTTAATTTACGGAAATCTCCCGTTAGATCTTGTAAACTAAAGAATTGTAAAACAATATGCCGAGAGACTTTTACATCCATTTTTAAGTAAGATTTTAAGGCATCAACTGATGAAGTTCAAATGCTTTTATGAAATGTGGTATCTTTCCATTCGATGTTGAAAACGTTGACTTACAAATGCATGCAAGACAGACACAAAGAGTTAATGACCAAGACAGCTTATCAACAAAACACATACTTCGAGAATAACGATGCACTATTTCTTCAGAAGCTTGAGAAGGAAATCTCACAAGTTATGCTTTAAATTTTTAAAAGAGCATTGACAGAAGAATTTAATCTCCCAAATATCCAAAAGCCTGTGCTTTTCTCAATATGGAAGAATTTATTGCAAAAAGAACATTTGGTTAAGTCAAATTTTGGTACTGAAGCTGATACAACTAATATTGATAATGAAAGTATATGAAAACTAATTTTGAGATAAGTCCTCTTGAGGCATTGTTATTTGCAAAAACAATTAGTTCCATAAGTAAATGGTAAATACTGCTGAAGACCCACTAGATATAAGTCGATGAGAGATGGATTTTACTCAAACTTCGAAACTTCTTTTTCTAATTTATTATCCAGTGAGGAATTCCAGAAATGGTACTGGAAAAATCAAAGGAAATTTCGAAGATACATTTACATTGGCCAAAAATTTGGAAAAAAGAGAAAGGTCAAATCAAAAGAAATACATTACTTTTTGCATTAACTTCCGAAAAAGAACGAAAATTTAAAGAGACTGAAAGAGCTGAAGGAAAGTTAAAGCAGAAAGTATGACGAAGAGAAAAAAAATAATTTAAACGACAAAAAAAGCTTAAAAAAATATAGAGGAAAAGAGTAAACAAAAAAGAGATATAATAATAATAAAAACATCATCGGATTACACAATGATGAACATTCATGATTCAGAACGGACTATTAAACTGTGAGAAAAAAAATGAACAATTTTTCTTTTAAACTCTGTACTCCACCATATTTTACTTTCCATTCCATGACTGAAAAAAAAGTAAAATTTTCCACGTTAAATGTGGTTATCTTTTGTAATTCCAAGAAAAATCTTGTTTTTAGGCATTTGCGCGGCCTATGGAGTCCTAACGAGCTTCAAACATTCTCAGAATTAAATGTTTATTCACTAGAAAATTTAGTGTTTATTCACTGGTAAGAACTGTTCCTTCACTTGATTATCTTATTACTTATTATTTGAATCACCAAAAGCTTTAAACAATATTATGTAAGTTATCTAAAAAAAATTTTATACAATTTGCATTTAATAACAAATATGCTGACATCGTCGAAAATCTAAAATCACAAATTTTGAAATTTTTGTGATTTTTTTTAAAGACAAGCTAAGCTTAAGTGTTCCTTCACTGGTCAGTTTACACAATAAATCTACAATTAATCTGTTATAAATCATTCATACTTACTCTCATCCTCTTCACCACCGGCTTCTGTATTTAAAGATAAAAATAGAAACGGGTTTAAAGAAGAAATTTTGAGAAACATGTTTAGTGATTTTAAGTCAAATTATCTTGCCTTAAACAACTTTGCGATCGATATCAAATATTTTTTTATTTGATTTTTGATATTTTACTTCAGCCGTAGCTAGGATTAATTTTCTTTTGGGGGAGACAAAAAAATATCGTGCACAGTTATCTACATACATATTTCTAGAAAGGTATTATAACTAGAAAATTAATAAAACGATTGATGGAAAAACGTAAAGGTTCTCATCAGAATGCATTCTTTTACGACTGCGAAAGAGACATTTTAATGATAAATTTTTCTATGATAAAAATCACTCTTTATAATGTATCTATGCCTCTAAAAAGTTATAGAAATGTTATTTTAAATGACTTTAGGTTGAACGATGAAATGCAAAACCCAAATTTGACGAAATAAAGTGCGAAATAATATAAAAATGTGTTAAAATAAGCTATACTAATCTAGCACCTAAGAAAAAAATATTCGGAAGAAAAATTATAATGAATGTGCTTTTAGTTTTATCGTATAAAATAATTGTTGAAAAAATATATATCATGCAAATTACAATTCAGTGCTGCCATTCAGGAAAAAATAAAACGTTCCTATCAAATCTAATTAGAAAATTTAAGCAAAAAAAAAATCCTATAATGTGTAAAAAAGTTAATAAAAACAATAATAAATGTATTTAAATTGTGAAATCATTAAACAATCAAATAGGTGATATTTGAAGATCTTAACATATAAAGGTAAACAAGGAATACACCTTTTTATTGGTTTCATAGGGTGACTGTTTATAAGTCAAAGCCCACATACATGGATGGAAAGCCGTTTATAGACTTTATCCTCGTTTTGCAAAAAGCATCCTACGGAGTATGGATCAATTTAGTAGTTCGACGCAACAAGCATAATTTGTGCAGTGGAGGAAAATAAGAAAGCTATCATTACGTTTGGGCTACACAACTGCGCAGTGGGGGTTTTCTTGTTTATGGTAACCAGTGCTGAGGCATTCTCTCTTTTCGGAGATGTTGGTTCAAAGCACCAGAAGATCATGAGTATGAAAAAATATACTCTTGCCTGTCTGCTTTTTGGTGTCTATTGCTACCTGCCTGCACTATTTTTCAAAAAAGTCCGTTCATCACATACATACCATTTTATGCACAAATTGATATTACTGAAAATTTTAGTAGTTAATAATACTCACCCTCTTCTTCCTTAAAAGCGTGTATAACTAAAAATAAAAAGCGTATGAAATTAATTAATAAAAACTCTTGTTGGTCTTCACGTATTTCATCTAACGAATTTTACACAGAAATCAGCTAAATTGAATACACAAAAAAAAGAAATTCCTACTCACGGTTTCCACTTGCATCGAAAATGTCTATTCCTGAAAGGTAAAGCATTTGAAATATAAACAAATACTTTAGCTGATATTTTTTTTTAAAATTTTTTAAGTCGGACTTCTATTTAACGAAGTTCCATTTTGCGAATTCCTCTATTTTGCTCATTTTTTTCGAGGAACCAAGAACATTATGGAAATTTCATCGTGAAATAATTTCCAAATAGCGAAGTGAATTTTCAATTTAGCGAACTTTTCTTTAAGATCCACTTTCTCAATTTCCCAAAATATTTCAGAACATTTCAAACTTGTTAACTCATTTCACCGGGGAAATGACCTTGAATTGATTTTCGCTGCCATTTAATTTTAGAGAAAGCGGTAAAATCCCTTTTTGTTTTTGTATGCATTTTATACAGAAGTCCATTCAAAACTCAATTTACGAGAAATCATAATAGAAATTTCTACAGCATGGAACTGTGATGTTACAGATTCGTAACAGTTTTGCTAAAACTGGATTCTTAGTCAGCGCGGAGAATATGGAAAATGCAGACTACCAGGATGATATTCCTTTAGAAGAACTCTAAAAAAATATGGGTACAGCTAAGAGAGTACCACGAAAATAATGATGATGTACTGATTAATGATTTTCTTGTCATTCATTTTGAAGCTGCAAATTGCTATTTTAATTATGTCTAGTGTTTATGAATTTAATACCTGTTCTGTGTTGCTTAAGTAATTCAAATGGTGATTTTCCATTTAACAAATTTTTCATATGACGAACTTTTTATCGCGATTCCCAAATTTCGTTAAATAGATGTCCAAAAATTTTATTTTACTTGAATAAGATTGAAAGAAACTATTCGAACTTACTATTTCCATCTTTGTCATAGGTTTCTATCACTAAATAACGTAAAAAGTATTATAAATTTACGTAAAATATTTTATGTAATGCATTTCATTAATAAATTAGCTAAATTCAATATGGGGTAGGTCAGTTATACTCACTCATCCCTGATTTGTAAAGGATTTCTATTCCTAAATAATAAAACATATAAAATGTTATCAATAAAAGCTAAAACGCAATATTGAAATTTTAAAACATTTTGTATAATGCTATGTACAATATCGTACTCTTGCACTACTGTACGTAGTTGATCGTTTAAAACAATTATTTATACTTACGTATTCCATGTTCATCATAAACTTCTATTCCTAAATTATACAATTAATGTAAATTTTATATTCAGTTAGACGAAATTCATATAAAAAATTTCGTTTGACTCATTTCATGCCTAAATAATAATCAAGAATAATCACGTTATAAATTATTCATACTTACTCTCTCCGTGTTCATTATAAGCTATTATTGCTGAAAGATAAAAGAAATATTATTCAACTTAACTAAATCGCAAATAATTTTAAGTATTTTTGCGCTACATTTTATGTATAAATTTACACTTAATCTGTTATAAATCATTCATACTTACTCCCATTCTCTTCAACGGCCTCTGTTTTTAAAGATTAAAAAAGATACGGGATTAAAGAAGAAATTTTAAGAAACATGTTTACTGATTTTAAGTTAAATTATCTTGCATTAAACAACTTTGCGATCTATGTGAAATATTTTTTTACTTGACTTTTGATCTTTCAGTTCAGCCATAGCTAGGATTTATTTTCTTTTGGGGGAGAAGAAAAAAATATCGTGCACAGTTATCTATAAACATATTTATAGAAGGGTAATATAATTAGAAAACTAATAAAGCAATTGATGGAAAAACATAAAGTTTCTCATCAGGATGCATTCTCTTACGACAGCAAAAGAGACATTTCAAATTAAAGATATATTTTTCTATGATAAAAATCATTCCTTATAATGTGTCTATGCCTATGAAAATTTTTACAAATGTTATTTTAAATGAGTTTAATTAGTAAGAAGTAATGCAAAACCCAAATTTGAGGAAATGAAATTAAATAAAATAAACATGTGTTATTTTATTTACATAATTATTTTGTTAACGTAAGCTATACTAATCTAGCACTTAACAAAAAATGTTAGGAAGAAAAATTATAATGAATGTGCTTCTAGCTTTATCGTATAAAATAATTGTTGAAAAAATATATAAAGCAAATTATAATTCATTGCTGACATTCATGAAAAAATAACTCTTTCCTAATAATTATAATTGGAAAATTTAAGCAAAAAAAGTTCCATAATGTGTAAAAAAGTTAATGAAAACATTAATAAAAGTGTTTAAATTGTAAAATCGCTAAACAATCAAATAGGTGATATTTGAAGATCTTAACATACAAACGTAATAACCTGCAGATCATGAGTATAAAAAATATATACTCTTGCCTGTCTGTTTTTTGGTGTCTGTTGCCACCTGCCAGCACTATTTTTCAAAAAAGTCCATTCATCGCATATTTACTATTTTATGCACAAATTGATATTACTGAAAATGTTATTAATTAATTATACTCACCCTCTTCTTTCTTAAAAGCATGTATAACTAAAAATATAAAACGCATGAAAGTAATTAATAAAAACTTCTATTGGTTTTCACGTATTTCATCTAACGAATTTTACACAGAAATTAGCTAAATTGAATACACAAAAAAAAAAAAATCCTACTCACGGTTTCCACTTTTGTCGAAAATGTCTATTCCTGAAATATAAAGCATATTTTAGTTGAGATTTTTTTTAAAACTTCTTAGAATATCTCCTATTCTCTTTTAATTTAATTTGAGAGTGAAAGAAATGATTCAAACTTACTATTTCCATCTTTGTCATAGGTTTCTATCACTAAATAATGTGAAAAGTATTATTATTACAAAAAAAAAAAAAACAATTTATGTAAAATATTTTATGTAATGCATTGCATGCATAAATTAACTTAATTCAATATGTGATCAGTCAGTTATACTCACCCATCCCCATTTTGTAAAGGATTTCTATTCCTAAATAATAAGAACATGTAAAATATTATCAATAAACTAAAAAGCACTTTTTAGATTTTAAAACATTTTGTATACCACACTGTACACAACCGTACTTATGCACAACTGTACGTAGTTGAGGGCTTAAAACAATTGTTTATACTTACGTATTCCGTGCTCATCATAAACTTCTATTCCTAAATCATACAATTAATGTAATTCAGTAATGCGAAATTTATATAAATAATTTCGTTTGATTCATTTCATGCACAAATAGTTCTGCAAGAATAATCATGTTATTGTTCATACTTACTCTCTCCATGTTCGTTATATGCTATTATTGCTGAAAGATAAAAAAAAAATATTATTCAACTCAACTGTATCGCAAATAATTTTAAATATTTTTTGCACTACATTTTATGATTAAATTTATAATTAATCTGTTATAAATCATTCATACTTACTCTCATCCTCTTCACCACCGGCTTCTGTTTTTAAAGATAAAAATACATACAGGATTAAAGACGAAATTTTAAGAAAGACATTTAGTAATTTTAAGTAAAATTATCTTGCATTAAACAACTTTGCGATCAATATGAAATATTTTTTTACTAGATTTCTTATCTTCCAATTCAGCCATAGTTAGGATTTATTTTCTTTTGAAGGAGACAAAAAAATATCGTGCACAGTTATCTGTATACATATTTCTAGAAAGGTATTACAATTAGAAAATTAATAAAACGATTGATGGAAAAACATAAAAGTTCTCATCAGGATGCGTTCTCTTACGACAGCGAAAGAGGCATTTTAAAATATAGATAAATTTTTTCATGATAAAAATCACTCTTTATAATGTGTCTATGCCTCTAAAAAATTAAACAAATATCATTTTAAATGAGTTTAGGATGAAAGAAGAAAAGTAGCAGTAAACAAACTTGACGATATGAAGTAAAATAAAATAAACATGTGTTGAAATAAGATGTACTGATCTAGCACTTAACAAAAATTGTTAAGAAGAAAAAATACAATGAATCTAATTTAAGAATTACGCTTAGTAATTTTCAGTTAAATTAGCTTGCATTAAAAAAAATTTGCAAGTAAGATGAAATATTTCTTATTTGATGATTATTTTTTTGCTTAATCCGTCATGGCTCAGTTGTTTAAGACACTAAGCTGATATTGTAAAGCGATCGAGCTCGATAATCATTGGTGGCGGCTTAAAGCAACTTACTCAGCTTCATATATATGGGTAGAAGCGTATCTGGGATTTCAAATCATCGTGACCTGAGCACATTTCAACATTTCATGCCGTTGGTCAAGGACCTTAACATTTGTGACCTTTTTTGTCCCTTTCACTTACAACTTACTTTTCCTGGAATAGTATGCGTTTGCCTATTCATTAATCAAAATTGTTTAATTTCACAGAGGAATAGCAGTAATAGCAGCTTTGCTGATAAAGAATAAAATTATAAAAACAAATATTTTTTGTTAGTTTCCTATATAAATTTTGAGATCTATTTCAGGAGAAGAAAATACCAAAAAGTATAATCAGTCTGTATAATCAGTCAAAAGGGAAAAATTTACTTAAAATCTGCAGCGATATTTTCTAAAGGAAAATAAATTTTCTCGCAACCATTTTCTGAATTTTTAATTCCTTCCCCCAAATTTTTTTTCTTGTACAAGCTATCCAATAATTTTATTTTTTCAAAACCAGATTCCATTATCAGTTTAGTATTCCATGACTATATATATATAGCATACCTGCCAACTTTCACTCTGTCCGAAAATGGATTTTCAGAGTGGTGGTAAAACAATAAACGAAAAACAATCTGCCTCAAAAATATATTTATATTTTGATCCCGTTGAAATTCGCTTGCGCAAGGATTATTATGCATTCATATATTTATTGTAATTATTTATATGTAGTGGTGGTCAAACTCATTTATAATTATCATTATAATTCAAAAAGTTAATTGGAATAACCCGAGTATTGCTACCACTTTAAATATGAAAATAAAATCTTCCGGAAAATCCGGAAGAGTTGGCAGGTATGATATAGTATATGAGCATTAATTTCTCCATTTTATTGCTTTAAACCTCAATTAGAAATGTATGCATGCATTCTTACATATTATGCCACACTGTAGGTCCCCTAATTTGTGTATTATTATTTCCTTTGGTATGGTAGCGTAGTATGTTACTTTACCAAAAGAAATTCTAACTAAAACAATAATTTTTAATGGGTCTCTTCTTTTTCTTTTTTTCTTTCTTCTTTTTTAAAATTTTTATTTTTATTCTCACCGTATAACAGGCTTTGTAGATGATTCTTCTGTGTTTTGGCTGTATCCTCCAAGAACCTAAAATAATTTTTTAAAGGGACTGAAATCGCCTAGCAGTTTCATGTCCCTGAATATTAAGATGTTCTCCCCAGGCAAGGGGCACATGGATGTTTAACCCTAGCATTTTTATTGCGAGAGATTTTGTGATTTCGCCTTGACCGCAGTAAACTGCCGGGCTGGATGATCAAGCTCCATCTAATAAGTAGATAGATGACTTTTTCCTTGGAGATGGACAGTCTCTTGGATTTGCACCAGTCATTAACATTATTAAGAGCTGCAGTGGCCAGAATTCCGAAGTCACTTTCTGTCCGTGCACGTAGGTAGGACGAAAGTGAAAACATCAGTAAATGCTGTGAGTGAGATTTCTGCGTCTTGTTGTTGTTTGAGCAGATTTTTTAGTTTGTTCCACTCTCGCAACTGTCGTGATTAAAGATGCTTGGCTACTACATGAGTCTTGTGGGGTACAGATTGTTTGTGCTTAACTTATTCACACGCAAATTAAGAAAAAAAAAATCAAAAATCTTGATTTTAAGAAAGTTTTTAAGAAAACCATGCTTAACTCGGTAGGTGGCGCTTTTAAGAGATAAGCCCTCGGACCTAAGAAAAAAAATGAGTGTAGTTAGAAGACTAAATTAACTGAAAATTCAGGAAGATCGGAAAAAAATTATGGTTTAGGAAAAAATTATGGATATTGCAGGAGAGTCCTCCCCTCTGGGGCCCCACATATATTTTTTTTATATATTTCTAGATCCCCCAAGAGAGTTCTTCAAAAATTTTGTGTCTTAAATTTTTTCAAAAATTCGAATTCCTCTTCGGCATTTCAAAAACATAAGTATACGAATAAAAGAAATTGCATCTATATTTCTCCTGAAACGTCTACTTTTAAGCTCTAGTGTTCTCTATTGCCAGGACTATGATTTAGAAAATGTTTTAAACATACTATTACAGACATACTATTTTATGTACAAATTTAAATTACTGAAAATGCAATTTATCATTAATACTCACCCTCTTCTTTTGCAAAAGCAAAAATTTCTAAAAAAAAATAAAGTGTATGAAATGTACAAATAAAAACTGCATTTTGGTATTAGCTTATTTTGAATAACGCATTTAATACATAAATCAGTAAAATTGAATACATTAAAAAATTTGATACTCACTTTCACCTATTTTGTTATAAATTTCTATCTCTGAAAGGTAAAACATATGAAATATAAACATATATTTAGGACTAGATTTATTTTAAAACTTTGCAAAATTTACTCTATTTTTTTTTTAAATTTAATTTTTCTTTAATGATCTTGAAAAAAATTGCATGAACTTACTATTTCCATCTTTATCATACGTTTCTATCCCTAAATAACGTACAAAGAGTATTATAATAAAAATTATATTTCATGTAAAACATTTCATGCTTAAATTTACTCAGTTAGTCATGTCATTTATACTCACTCATCCCGGATTTGTAAAGGATTTCTATTCCTAAATGATAAAAGATGTTAAATATTATCAATTAACTTTAACGTAATTTAATTTTAAACTTTTCTTACACCGTATTTTAAGCACAACTTTACGCAACTGAGGATTTTTAGAATGATTTTTACTTACTTATTCCGTGCTCATCATAAACTTCTATTCCTAAATGGTATAATTGATGAAAATTTATCAGTTTAGTAACGTGAAATTTATATTAAATTTAATTTATTTATTCATTTCATGCATAAAAAAATATTTTGTCATAAATTATTCATACTCACTCTCTCCATGTTCATTATACGCTATTATTGCTAAAAGATAAAACAGATAAAGTATTATGACTCAACTAAATATGAACTAATCATAAATATTTTTTGCACTATGTTTTATGTATAAATTTAGAATTAATCTGTTACAAATTTAGAATGAATATGTTATAAATTATTTAAACTCACTGTCATCATCTTTATAGACAGCTTCAGTTTCTAAATGATAAAAAAGTGAAAAAAAATAATCAGAAAACAATATTCGTATTCACTCATTCATAATAGAAAGAAAACAAAACAACAACATGCAAAACAATAAAACAGCAAATTATTTAAAATATTAAAAAGGAGAAGATCAGTTATTAACAATTTAAAATCTGTACAAAGAAATCAAGGAATTAAAAATGAGAAAAATTAAAAACGGAAAGATATAATCCTGATCACCTCACACATTACATCCGCAAATATTACTGCTATCTGATAGTGCATTATTTCAACAAACACAAAATATAAATTTGAAGCATAATAGATAGGCATAAATATCAACAAAATTAATCCCTCAAAATTTAAGCATTCCCTGGTTAAGTACTTAAAAACTCCCCTTTTAAGTACTTAAGTACTTAAATAGTTGAAAGATTTAATTTATATTTACCAGTTGTAGTTTCTTCGGTTGTAGTTTCCTTACACAATGATTTATGATCGATGATGAGTAGATAATTTTTTAGTATTCTTCCTAACGCTTTTTTATGGCAGTCTTTTGTATGCGTATCAAAACATGTAACTGTTTTCCTGAAAAAAATGTTAAAAATATTAAGAAAATGAGAAATTGTAAGTTTTGTAAGAGAAAAAAAACTCAAATATAGTAGACATTTTAATGTCTGACAAGTTGTCATAAACAGTTTATGCATTTTTAATCTTCTGGAAAAAAAAGGATAAAAAAGTATGCACATTTTTGGATATTGCGACGTTCTAGCAAAGATGCTATCATCATAATCACAATGAAGGAAAGCACCTGCACAGAACACTGAAATAACCAATGAGATGAAACAAAATTTTTAAACAATCAATCACGTTTTAGTTTTAAATAGGTTTGTATTAGGTTTTGATGTTCGATATACTTTCGTCTATTTAACTGTGATTGTCTCATTTATACAGTAAATTTTATATAGTAAATTTTATTCAAATTCTCATTAATATAGTAAATATAATAAAAAAGGTGCTTCTACGAAAAAATTAGAATCAGTTCCTTTCCCCAATGAAAGCCCTGTTATGGTATTTATTCCCTTGACTTACATTCCCTGGCCAAATTGTTAGACGCACTATAAGATTCTATGTAAAATCACAATTATCAGGTAATACTATAATGCTTTATCGTTTTTATGTGACTGACACCGGTAAGTACTTGTTTACGTTCGTGTATCAATTGTTTAAATTAGACGATATGTAACATAAATTCGACGATTGGATAAATTAGAAGATATATTATATAAATATAGATTATATATTATATGAGGTATTATATTAGTATATTATAATAATTGGATCAAATTTTTAGACGCATTGTAGTGTTTTAATCAATGCATGTTTTGTACTGGTTTATATGCAATACTTTTAGATTTAAACATGCATGTATCAGGTGATACTGTACAGCTTTATCATTTTTATGCGACTGAAACCGGTAAGTACTTGTTTACGTTCGTGTATCAATTGTTTAAATTAGACGATATGTAACATGAATTCGACGATTAAATAAATTAGACGATATATTATATAAATATAGATTATATATTATATGAGGTATTATATTAGAATATTATAATAATTAGATCAAATTTTTAGACGCATTTTAGTGTTTTAATAAATGCATGTTTTGCACTGGTTTATATGCAATACTTTTAAATTTAAACATACATGTAATGGGTTTTTATTAAGAAGATTTTTTATATACTTCCTATTTGTATTTACTTTTTACGTATTGCATTACAATGTTAAAAAATTGATACACGAACATAAACAAGTGTAAACCGGTTTCAGCATTGTAAAAACAATGCTGTATAGTATCACCTGATAATTGCATATAATCTTATAGTGCGTCTAACAATATTTCCAGGGACTGTAGACAGTTTTTTTACATATGTTTCAAAATACAGTTATTAAGTACTCTTAAAACGGTTATAGAAGAAAGCTTTCAAAATTTATGCTAATTTTGTTCACATGTTAAAAGCTTCCCCACAAATGAACAGGAACGAAGTTACTACGCATATAAAATTTTAAATCATTTATATTGGTGTGAAAAATAAGTTTAAATGAATAAAAAATATTGCATTGAAAGATAAACATAGTTACCATTGGAATAAATTTTCAAAAAGCGCAAAAAGTTGGCAGTCCGGCATTCTTTTTCAGAAGAGCAAGGCGAATAATATTCATTTTAACACGTGAAGTTATCTTGAATTTTGCTCTATATCTTTTTTTACGTATCCATTTGCTTATCATTTTAATAAATTTTCAGCAAAACGTAAACACTTTTTTTAAAATCTTATTTCGAATTTACAGACAAAGGGAATTTCGTATTTTAGAACTTCAATTTCGTTTAACTCAGTTCCACGTTGTATTTTTAATGCAATGCGCAGACGAAGAAAATAAATAAAACGATATTTTTAAAAAAAAGATTTAAATCTGGTGAAAATTAAATATTTCTGAAGTTTTAATGAAAAATAAACTGTGTCATATTTATGACCAAAATGTTATTATAAATATTTTAAAATGAATTAATTAATTAAAATTATGGTGCAAGACATATTTTATTTTCAAACACACTGTTGCACCCAAGCGATTGCTTAATTGGATATTTGCACTTAAAGAAGAAGACTACATATGAAAACACATGTGACTTATGACGTCAGCGCCAGCTGATCGTTTGCAAGTAAAATGACAAGTTAAAGTTGAGCTGAGTTTCTCCACAGAAATTAAAATGCTAATTGAAGTTAGAAAGTTAGAATGTTAATTAACGAAAGTTAATTAAATACAGTGTCGTATCACTCATTGAATTTGTGGAAACATAATTTTATCTTGCATACGTCTTTTATTTAACTTAGATTCATTATTTGCTTATGTATTTTATTGTAACCATGATAAATTTTTACTTTGTGTACCTGACAATATCAGTGCGTAATTAGTTTGTTTATGTTTTACATGACTTCATGCCTGTCTTTGGGTTGAGTTCGATATATACACTGGTTATCATAAATTAAGGAAAAATCACAAAAATAGCGATAACTCTTTCAAAAGTAAGCCAAACCGTGCAAAATTTGCATATGTTGTCCACTAAGAGTAGCTGAGTAAAATTGCAATATGCAAATTAGTGGCGCTGCACTCGGCTTACGTCATCTGCCTGGAGCATAAAAGTCCAAGTTTGAGAGAAAGCACACAAATTTTACTGTGATTGCGACATTGAAAATCTGAGATAGCCAATTCGTAATAATGACCTCTAGGCATCATTTGCCTGAAGAACTACGATGGAGAGCCATCGGGAGACTAGAGGCAGGGCAGAGTCAATCAGAAGTGGCCAGATGGCTAAATGTGAGTCCATCTGTGGTTCATAGACTTTGGAGGCAATTTCAAACCACAGATTCGGCATCTAGGAGGTTCAGTCAAGGACGGCCAACTGTTACGACCAGTGCCGATGACCGATATTTGACATTAAGTGCACGCAGGAATAGAACCGCTACTCCGACACATCTTAGATCCTCTCTTGCTGCAGCCACCGGAAGGTTGGTGTCAACGTCAACTGTGCGCAGAAGGCTCCACGAAGGTGGTCTGTATGCGAGACGACCAGCCATTTGCGTGCCGCTCACATCACGCCATAGGAGAGACCGTTTGCAGTGGGCCCGACAACATGTCCACTGGACGTCAGATCAATGGAGGCCTGTTCTCTTTACGGATGAGTCCAGGTTTAGTCTAGAAAGTGACAGTAGACGTTATTTGATATGGAGAGAACCTGGGACCCGTTATCATCCATCAAACATCCGTGAAAGAGATGCATACGGAAGAGGCAGTGTCTGTGTTTGGGGAGGCATATCCTTAGGAGGGCGCACATACCTCCATGTCTTTCCAAGGGGAACCGTGAATGCTCAGGTTTATCGAGACAACATCCTTGATGCTTATGTGCGCCCATATGCCGGGGCAATTGGTGATTGCTTCCTGTTACAGGACGATAATGCAAGACCACACAGAGCTCGCATTGTTGATGATTATCTTCAACAGGAAACAATTACTCGCATGGAGTGGCCAGCTCGATCCCCGGACTTGAATCCTATCGAGCACGTTTGGGATGCTCTAGGGAGGCGTGTATCTGCCATCAATCCGCCCCCTCAGACCCTTGCCACGCTTGCAACTGCTTTACAAGAGCAATGGCTCTCACTTCCTATTGAACTGATAGACCGCATAATTGAAAGCATCACACATCGCTGTTTGTGCTGTATTGCTTCTAGAGGCAATCATATTCCATATTAAAGGTACTTTTTCTATTGCAAACCGATACTTCCAATTTGTTTATTTTATACATGTGCTAATTTCTATACTACTATTAATGTCTGATAATTTCTTTTTATGTTGTTTAATACCTTACTATGTGTTGTATATTGTGGGTAAGTTTCATAAAATTCCATGTGTAATTTCTTGAGTTATCGCGATTTTTGTGAATTTTCCTTAATTTATGATAACCAGTGTATATTGAAGGAAATGAAACAATATACACTGACTGAGCAAAACTCATGGGATACCCACCTAATATCTTGTCGGGCCCCCTCTAGCCCTGCGGAGTGCAGCGATACGGCGTGGAAGTGAGTCTGCAAGGCTCTGGAACACGTCCGGAGGTAGTTGGCACCACACATCCTGCAGAGCAGCAGCCAATTGTGGCCTGTTCGTGGGTTGAGGATTCAATGTCCTGAGCCTGACGTCGAGGGCATCCCAGATATGTTCAATGGGGTTCATATCAGGACTTCGAGGTGGCCAATTCAGTCGTTGGATCTCACCTGCATGCTCGTCGAACCAGGCACGGACGATATTGGGCGATGTGGGGCTGCGTTGTAATCTTGATACACAGCAATGTCATCAGTGTGTTGAAACATGACAAAAGGGTGGAGATGGTCTCCAAGCAGCTGAAGATACCGCTGACCAGTCAATGTGGCATCCAGAACGACCAGGGGGCCCATTCCATGCCACGAAAAATGCATCCCACACCATGACTGATAGGCCACCGGCCTGTACTGTGCCCACTTGGCATGCTGGATCCATCTCTTCGTGCGGTGTGCGCCACACACGGTGACTCCCATCAGCATGGAACAGTAGATAACGTGATTAGCCAGACCAGATCACGTTACGCCACTGTTGCAGTGTCCATCCGTGGTGATTGGTGGCAAATGCACGCCGAATTGCCCGATGTCGCTGGGTTAGCAGTGGCACACGTGTGGGGCGACGGCTCTCATACCCGAGATTACGCATGTTACGACGGATTGTCCACTGGGACACGTCGCTATCACGGCCAGTGTTGAATTCAGCTGTGATTTGTTGCACATTTGCTCTCCTACCCCAAGTTACCACTCTTCTCAGGTTTCGCCTGTCTCGGTCATTTAGGGCCTGTGGATGCCCGGTATGGTGTCTGTTGTGGACTGTGACACCCTCATTCACCCATTCTCGGTAAGCACTCGACACGGTTGACCTTGGGAAGCCGAATTCCTGAACCACTTCCGAAATGGAACGTCCCATGCGTCGGGCACCCACAACCATGACGCGTTCGAATGCCGTCAACTCACGACGACGTTGCATTTTGCCTGATCACTCACACAGCCACTTCAAGCAATGTCTAACACACAACTGAGACCGTCGCGGAGGCCCCCAGGTGGCGTTGGTCACACGTGCTGTCCATCTACAAATCAGAGCAATGCTATCCCATGAGTTTTGCTCAGTCAGTGTAGTATGCGTCCCTTAAGAGAATTGATACTTGATGGGTTTGGCTTACTAGAAATAGAATGGAAAGAACAGTTGCTAAAGTAAACAAATGCCACGCTTCAGCAACCAATCATGAACGAGATACCCACACTACGTCACTTGCAAGTATTTTATAACACTCAATACAATGTTTAAACATTACATTATCGTTTTAATTTTTAAAAAAGAAGAAAACAAACAAACTAATATTTATGAACTACACTGTACAAGAAAAAAGAGGATTCCAAGTTAGTGTTATTTTTAGTATTAAATTAAATAAGCAAGAACAAAATAAATTCACTTACTCGTCGCTGATGGGATTGCCTCTCCAATGTGCTTCGGCATAAGAATGAAGATCAGGTATACATGGATCTAACATTGTTATATTAATTTTCTCTAAACACTTCTTTGTTTTAACAGACGATGCTCCATCTATGAAAAGAAGAAAAAATCTTTATTTTTTCCCATTTGTTATCACTGATTAAAATTTTTTTTATTTCGAATTATTGTGTAAATTGTTCTACGAATAATGAGTAAGGCCTCTATTGTCACATGAAAAAAGACTTTTTAATGAACAATATACTATTTGTTGAATTATTATGAATTTATAAAACAATTATCATCGTTAAGTTTTTTAATCTTTGTATGCCTATTTCAAAACTAGTACAAACTGTCGCATGAAGGAAAGCCACAATTTCAATAAATTGTGATCTAGTTTTTTTAAAGTTTGAAATGTTTCTTCAAATGTTTCAATTTTCTATTGTTATGGCTCATCAAAAATAAAAGAGAATGAGAATTACTCGTTGATTTTTAAATTTTTATCTAGGTTAAAAAAATCTTCCTAAATTGATCCTTTTTTTATAAACCTTAAAGCCAGATGTTCATTTTAAAATCCAAAAAAAAATTTTCCAGCAAAATTTTGCATATTTTTTAAGACAAAAGATTTGATTCAAGTTTGGAACATAGTAGAACATTTGGAACAAATAGCTCAGAGAAGAAACTTCGATCACTTAAGTAAAAAATGGATCATAACATTTAATTTCAAATTACCATTTCCACTATGAGCTTCGAATGAATTTCGAAAAAAAAGCATTCTTAAAGTAAGAATAGTTCAGAACAGTTACTCTCAAAACATTATTTCCTTGATGAATTTCGAACAAGCTTCGAAGAAACATTCTTAAGTAAGAATGACTTATAGCCTAATTTCGAAAAACTATTTCCCTGATAAGGTTCGAAGAACATCCTTAAAATAAAAATGTCCTTTAACGATTGTTGTTGTTGTCGTAGACCATAAAGGCAAAGGGTGCGATTGTTCTTTCTTTCCAGTGGCGCTATCTATGGCCAAGAATTCGACTTCTGCCACATCCAATAGTCACACTCGTTTATAGGATGGACCCATTCATAGACCCATTCATTCGTCTACATATCGTAATTTTGACCTGAACCAGAGAACGATCAATCTCCAATTCAGTACCCCCAAAGGTATAATTTGTTATGGGAACATGGAGGTTTGTTTGAACCCGATAGATTTTCCGGGTACCAGTTACCATTTACTACACAGCTAACTCCCGTTCTCACAAATGTGAGTCCAGTGTCCTGCCAACCAGACTATATGGACCCCTTATAACGTTTAATTTCAAATTACGATTTCCAGGACCGGGATACACTGGTTGGTAGGGCACTAGGCCCATGTCCAAGTGTTCGTGGGCTAGATCCCCGACAACAGAAGACTCCCCTTGTAGTAAATGGTGACTGATGCACGTTAAATCTGTCGAGTCACAAAGTCTTCCATGTTCCCATAACAAATCATACCTCTGGGGGTATTGATCCAGGAGTTTCCTTGTCTTCTGGATTGGTTCAAAATTACAAGGCTACGGAGTTGAACATTAGTTGTCGTAAATCCAAAATTGGGTCGGCTGTTCAACGACGGATGTAAAATTACGATCTCCAGGACAAACTTTGAAAAACACCTTTCAGAGAAAATGGCAGAATGAGCATGTGTGTACTTATGGAGGAATTAAACTTTGTCTGACATAAAAATCTAAAATATTCCCAAATTACAAAATAAATTTAACAATAAAACAAAATAAATATAACAATTAATAAAACATCCCTCTATTTATACGTCCTTAAAAACAAAACAAAAAAGTATAGAACAACATACCAGTGGGTTCAAATGATTCAACTGAAAATTTTTTTAGGACAGTAATTGTCTCCTTTAAAGTTTGTCTGAACATGCGTTCCCTTTTCATTGTGCAAACGCTTTTTTCAACCCTCTTCACACAGCTATTAGCTTCTCCAAAAAACCTAAAATGAAAACAAGCCACTACAGTACACATTTCTGTGTTGTCGTACAATAACTCTGTTGCGTTAAAACAATATGGTGAACCTTTTTCACACACCTATGAGCTTCTCCAAAATACCTAAAATGCAAACAAGAAACTACAATAAACGTTTCTGTGTTGTCCCACAAAGACACTGTTTGGTTAAAATAATATAGATAAACTTTTTCACACATCTATTAGCTTCTCCAAAGCACCTAAAATGCAAACAAGCGACTACAATATACGTTTCTGTGTTGTCCCACAATGACACTGGTTAAAATAATATGGCGAACCTTTTTCACACATCTATTAGCTTCTCCAAAATACCTAAAATGCAAACAAGAAACTACAATAAACGTTTCTGTGTTGTCCCACAAAGACACTGTTTGGTTAAAATAATATAGATAACCTTTTTCACACATCTATTAGCTTCTCTAAAATACCTAAAATGCAAACAAGAAACTACAATAAACGTTTCTGTGTTGTCCCACAATGACACTGGTTAAAATAATATGGTGAACATTTTTCACACATCCATTAGCTTCTCCAAAATACCTAAAATGCAAACAAGCAACTACAATATACGTTTCTGTGTTGTCGCACAATAACTCTGTTGCGTTAAAATGATATGGTGAACCTTTTTCACACACCTATGAGCTTCTCCAAAATACCTAAAATGCAAACAAGCAACTACATTATACGTTTCTGTGTTGTCGCACAATAACTCTGTTGCGTTAAAACAATATGGTGAACCTTTTTCACACACCTATGAGCTTCTCCAAAATACCTAAAATGCAAACAAGAAACTACAATAAACGTTTCTGTGTTGTCCCACAAAGACACTGTTTGGTTAAAATAATATAGATAAACTTTTTCACACATCTATTAGCTTCTCCAAAGCACCTAAAATGCAAACAAGCGACTACAATATACGTTTCTGTGTTGTCCCACAATGACACTGGTTAAAATAATATGGTGAACCTTTTTCACACATCCATTAGCTTCTCCAAAATACCTAAAATGCAAGCAAGCAACTACAATATACGTTTCTGTGTTGTCCCACAAAGACACTGTTTGATTAAAATAATATAGATAACCTTTTTCACATCTCTATTAGCTTCTCCAAAGCACCTAAAATGCAAACAAGCGACTACAATATACGTTTCTGTGTTGTCCCACAATGACACTGGTTAAAATAATATGGTGAACATTTTTCACGCATCCATTAGCTTCTCCAAAATACCTAAAATGCAAACAAGCAACTACAATATACGTTTCTGTGTTGTCGCACAACAACTCTGTTGCGTTAAAATGATATGGTTATCGATAAAATTACCATGTTTATACCTTCTGTTATTAGTTACTCCAAAACACCTCAAACTCGTCTAATATATAATCTAAACATTATTTAGAACTTAAAATAAAGGCCTTACTCTTTTCCAGTGTGGTATTTGTTTTGGTAAAAATCTTTATAGCAGTCATCAATTTCAATGATCAAATCTCTCAACTGCCGACCATTGCATGCATCTACATAAAAAAAAACAGAAGTTAATAATAACGTTCCAATTTATCTTAAGATACGAGGGTTGCTTTTTACGTTAGGGCCGTTTGAAAATAAAAACCAAACGGCAGAATATTTTCAAGAAACAAAATTATTTTCAGATTCTGAATACGTTTATCTTTTTCTCAGCATATTTGCCAAGTTTGTTTAAGCACTTATCATACCTTATAACTAGATTTAGAATACCCTCATCGCACAAACTTACAGCCAGCTCCGTTAACCAAGAGGTCATGGCCTTCTTCACGTATTCGTCATCGTTGTTGTGATTGCCGCCAAAATGATGTTTGAAATATTGGAAAGGATGAAAATCACTCAGCGCAAGGTCTGATCTGTAGGAAGAGTCGTCAAAAACTTTCCAACCAAATGAGTCCAACAATGCTGGGATCTGAGCTGCGGAGAGAGTGATTTTCATAGAGTAGCAAAACTCCCAGTCCGCATGGCAGGGAATTTTGTTACTTCACAAATCGTGACTTCAGAAATATGCCAGTGAATGTACGCATCAGGCAGGCTTTTTGCAGACTAAAAACGCATAATTGACCGTGCCTCATGCATGGCGAGCAATATGCTAAATTTCACCATTTTAAACACACAGAACTGACCTTACAGTTACTCTTCACAGCTGCAATTGAGAACAATTGTTCTCAAGAAATGCCGGAAAACGACGCAAGTACTCGAAGGAAGGCACGCGTCACCTATTAGTCTCCAATGGTTACCAACTGGCGGCCCTCGGCCCACGATGCCTTTTTCGTGTGGCCCGCAAACTAAAATATATTAGTTGTTATTTTTTGCGGACAATTTTCGTAAAAAATCTATATGAGCTTAAAATACTTTTGTTTCGTTTAAAAAAAAACCTAATTTTTTAGTTTCTGTGAAATTTAACATACCAACGGTGCAAAAAAATTTATTTCTCAGGTTTTACATCCAATAAAATATTCATTCAAGAAAATATTCATTATTATTTGTAATTCAATACTTTTGTTTTGTACAACTAGATAAAAATCTGACAGTAATATTTAATGTTCCTTCAAACATTAAATAATCTATATAAAATTTTAATAAAGTTGCAGCCTGCCATTTGACTGGTGTTTTTAATTGCGGCCCTCGGCCACATGTAAGTTGGAAACCCCTAGTCTACAGAATAAAATGACATTTACTCAAAGAACAACTATCGTAAGTGGTAAAATAGGGAACATAAAGAATAATAATTGATAATAATGTTTGTATTTATTTTAAGACAAATTGTTAAGTAATTTATAAATAACAGAAATTAATAATAAAATTAATAATAACTTTGCATTTACTTTTGCAATTTACCCAATGAATAAATATTAGTCATAATGCATGCATTCGTTTTAAAATATAAAGTTTTCATCGCTCTTTGCTATATGGTGTTGCGCGTCAACAGCTTAATGCTTAAGCGTCAACAGCGAATGCTTAAGTTAAATAAATTATATTAAAATTAAACACCGGAATTTGAAGCAGGACAAGAGTCTCCTTTCGTATGTTAACTAACTAATATAATAAAAATAAGTTCATTTCATTTTTTTTATTATTCTTCAGATTCTAATTAAGATAAATTTAATTTTTAATTCGAACAATTTATAAAGGGAATTTTGAAAAATTAAATCCATGTTTGACTGATGATGCGTGGCACCTTTTTTTTAAAAAAAAAAAAAATAACGATTAATTTCCAGTGATTTAGATTCTTCGGCCTTTGTCAATTTATTTAAAAATATACTTGGCACATTGAAAGAAAATATATTTAAATAAGCATTTACGCTTTTATTAACAGAAAACAATACATATCATCCTAAGCTCTAAAAAAGAAACTTCGTTAATAGTAAGCACATTTACTAGTAAAAGAATAAACTTCATCACCTTCCAAAATTTAGAAGGAAAATTCGACACATTTCAAAAGCCCATTTGCTAAGACACAAGAATGTTTCACGTGTTTGTGGGTCTTGATAATGGACACCTGTTTTGAGCACTCGAAACTTTCCATTTTAATTTTTGAAGGCAACGAAATGTTTCTTTTGACAAGTTTAACTCTCAACTTCAGTTTTTTGGGATTATTCTCCTCCATGTACATTATTTATTTGGAAAAAAAATTATCATAATTGAAGCAATTTTCGAGTTTACGAATATAAACGCGTTGTTTTCTGAAAACGCCATTTAGTGTCCAGGGAAGTGTTTTTACTCTCTAAGAGCGTCAAAAAACATTATACTGCATTTTTCACATTTATATAACTTTCAGATTGTGTTTTAAAGGCTACTGGAAGAATTTTTTAAAAATGTTTTTCTTAATACAACAAAAGAGAATTTGCTTTAGATATTCAATTAAAAAAAAGCAAAATAATAGTTCTATATGTAATATTTCGTTTGTCAATTTTAGTTTGCACTGTATGCGTTCTATATAAAACCTCAAATGATTCATGAAATGTATATTAATTCAGGCTTCAAATGAGAAAAGAAAAATTATTTATATTCAAATTTTTCTTAATAATAAATGTGGAATAAATAATTAATGAAATAACAATAAATAGTACTAAAAACAATTAAATTTTGGAAACTAAAATTCTGTATTAAAACTTACCTGCTTTATCGTATCCATCAGGACTACACGTGACACCTGTAACAACACCATATTTGGTAAGTGTCAGTGGCGTGATTTATGTTTCAAAAACAAAACTACAAGCACGCTGTTTATAGCTGTTAAATATTGTCTTCTGCTTAAGCCTGTCTTCGAACTAAAAACAAGGACATGGAATGCTAATTCGAAGTAATGTATGGGTGAAGTTTTGAAATGAATTGTATTATCTTACAACCATTGTCTACTTCAATAACAAAATAATTTTATTGGTTTTTGTTTAATATTTTGGTTGTCTAATTGCACTAGTTCCTCCAGAAACGAGATATATATTCGCTATTTCAAAATTATAAATTATATTTATTTTTACTGCGCAATTTAGATAAAAGGAGTTAAATAATCAATAGAAGCTCAATAACATTTTTTAATTGTTAACTATAATAATAACAAGCTGCATTTTTTATCACTAAATTCTTCAAAATTTATAATCTACTAAATATTTCTGCTACGCTGAATCCGCTGTTTCGTATGCCACTGCTTTAAAGAAATAGTCTTTATCCAATGTTTGTTTTGATTTTGTGGTCAAAGTTAAAATGATATTCCACTTCATTAGCGTTTTCAACTTACGAATTTTTGCAAAATTTCTTATTTTCACTTATGTAAGTTTGATATTTTTTCGCGAGCGTGCGCATTTCACTAGAATTGACGCATGTGCACCAGAAGTGCGTTCGGAAGCTAGCGTAAGTTTGTGGCGTAACTACCACTATGAAAATTAAACATCAATTGACTGGCATATAAGCTATACTAACTGTTTTAAAAGCAATGTATATAAGCTATGCTATGGTATTACGGCATTTCCGCGTATATAAATAAAACTGTTTTTTTTTTGTGTTCTATATTGCATTATTTTTTCTTCAAACCATTTTAGTAACGATTATCTATAAGAAATAATCTATAAGATAATCTATAAGAAAATTAAATATTTACTCGAATTATGTGTTTCTAATAATCTTGGCTTCGGCGGTCACCGGTGACCCCCATGGTGTTCAATGTGTTAAAGACCACGGTTAATTCAGGCGTAATTACAGAGGGTGAAACGCCTTTCCAATTTCAAATCGCAAATCAAGAGACAAAAACTGATTACACTATCAGTACANCTTGGTTTCGGCGGTCACCGGTGACTCCCATGGAATTCAACGTGTTAAATCGATTGTATTTGGCCCACTATTTAATGGCAAATTTATTATTTACATATTATTATTATGGAAAATTACTGTTTTTTATTCGGAAAGGTATTTACAGTTCATTAGTGCAACGTTTTTCAAGGCGAAGCGAAAATTTTTGCTCATTTTCGATTGCTGGTTTTGATCAAACCACAAAATTAAAGTTTAAATATGTCATTCGATGAGATGTGTACTCATCTTAATTGTAACTCTGCGCAAGAAGTATTTTTTAAATCTAAAAAAGTGGCGAACATTTAGCATTCTCTTGGATCTTAAAAGTTAAGCTCACTTCAAAAACTGTCACAAATTCTCATTATTTTTGTTTTGGATTCCATTCTATAAGTAAGACATCGATTAAACAGAATTGATTAAACAAACATCGATTAATCAGGTTTTAAAACAATATTGCAATATGGTAACAATATTAACAATACTTTTTTAGTGCATTATATTTGTTAATTTTATACATTAAATCCTAAAATATGGTTTTTTTTTAAATATTATCCTGCAAATATGTAAAACGATTTATTTTCATGCTTGCAAATGTTTTTTCCTTCTATTAATAAACAAGTGATATAGTAAAATTTGTTACCACATTATACTTTGAATATTTAATTTACGAATATTAAGTAAATAATTATTTAGTGCAGTATTTTGCAGTTTATTTGTCATAAATATTTATTATTTAGGTGATAAACACACAATTTTTCGTAAACAAAGCATATAAACTTGAAAAAGTTATTTAAAGACTGAAATATTATTAATTATACATACCAGATTCATCTGATTCATCTAAACAGAAAACAATGCAAGTCAGTAAAAGGTAAAATACGAGCATGATGTAAAAGAAATTTATTTATTAAAAAAAAAAACAATATCTCTATTTAGTACAGCAAAATAATGGTCTAACACAATCGGTACTAGCGACTCGAAAAGAAGACTATCACTGATACCCAGACACGTGATCTATCTCCTGCCAACTGATTGTTCATCAACAAAATAACATTAAAAAACACCTAGAAACGTGATAATAACCTCGTAAAACACAATAAAAAGTCAAACAGAGTAACTATCAACTGAACACAAATAAAGTTTCAAAAGTGATTACTAAAATTCGAAATTCAAGCATCGAATTTTGGAGAATTAAAAATATTGAATCCTTAAAACTTAAGAAATACGTAGGTAAATTATAGGAATTCGAAATTAGATTTGGCGAGTCAAAAACTTAAACGCGCCATTAAAAATTTCTGAAGGATATATATATTTTAATTTCAAAAGGATGTTTTTTATTTTCTAAAAAAATGTATATGATAGTTTTTTTTCTTCGTATTATGTTCAGGTGCTGTTGTGGGCCACACATCAAAAGCTAACGGGCTTCAATTTGTGCCTTCCTGTAAAAGTGTATTATTTCGGGATCGAACTCATAGCCTCCTATAACTGAAAGCCTCTACACGGATTCTTTAAGGTAGTTTGATCAGACCACTACGATACGTAGGTAAACCAGTTAACAAAAGAGCCAGTCGGATTCTTTTTGGTAGTTTGATCAGACCACTACGATACGTAGGTGAACCAGTTAGCAAAAGAGCCAGTCCGATTCTTTTTGGTAGTTTGATCAGACCACTACGATACGTAGGTAAACCAGTTAACAAAAGAGCCAGTCGGATTCTTTTTGGTAGTTTGATCAGACCACTACGATACGTAGGTGAACCAGTTAACAAAAGAGCCAGTCGGATTCTTTTAGGTAGTTTGATCAGACCACTACGATACGTAGGTAAACCAGTTAACAAAAGAGTCAGTAAATACAAAATCTAGCAAAATTAAGAAAGTGGTAGCAAATATATGTCTAAAACATTCAATTCTCAAATATATCAAATATGAAATAGAAATTGGGTACATGCGCACAACTAATTAAAAAAAAACTATGAATAAGCTTTCTGATGCATGAGATGACGTCAAGCCTCGTGCGAGGGAGCTGTTTACGCCTCTGCATTTTGGTTCTGTGAGTGCAGGCTTGCTTGTCGTTTGCAGTTTTGAGTTTTCTAGATAATATTTTGTATGTTTTGAGTCAGTTTTCCAATTGTTCTTCATAGATATCGCTAACGTTTTACAATAGTATATTCAGGCACTATATAAAGGACTGTAACTTTCAGCGTATTTTCATTAAAATTAATGTTATATGATTTTTTTTTTTTTTTAAAAAAAGGATATTAGGTTTATCGGGAACGATGTCCCAGTTCCGTGCTTTCCGGACGTGCGAGATTACGGAAGCGCTATCTTTTCACTGGATTTGAATAGGTAATATCTTCTAAATTATTTTCCTTTTAAGACAGTCAAAAAAAAATTAGCATTCGGAGAATGTGAAGAACTTACCTTCGTAGCTTTCCTCCTCAGTAGGAGGAGGTGTAGTGGGACATGGATCTTTCAGAAACACTGATCGGATATAGTATTTTACTAAATATTCCAATGACTCATCCGTACAAGAAGCCTCGTGAAACGCCTTCAGACACCATACACTGGCTCTGAAATATTACAATTTTACTCTCTCTCTCTCTCTCTCTCTCTCTCTCAACATACAGTGGAGTTTTCTGA